TCCTTATTTCTTATTCTAAAATGTTAATAAAGAAGACATGAAGATAGAGAACACAGAAACTAAGATCTCTTCTACTGTTTCTATAAACAATAAGTGCTGTTTAAAGAAGAATGAAGTTCCTTCATAACCATTATTCTTGAGCCAATTTCTAAATTTTTTTGATGTTGAACTATCAAATAAAATATATAAAACTATTCCTTAAGACATATCTATCCCTTCCCCTTCCCCTCAAAAAAATCACATATAGATTTATTTATACGTGACTTTCATGGAAGAGGTCATGAAAATTCCATTGCATGAAGGTAATACAGAAATAAAAAGAATCAATCTTTCATATTTTCCTAACCCAGTCATTCAGTGAACTTGGCAAGGTACCAGGGATAATATTTTTTCAAGTGGGAATATGTGTTTGGTAAAAAATATCCCTACATTTGAATCATCATCAGGGGGCCCTTGTCTTGTTATGAATTTGGGGGAGGGAGGGTAGAGTGTTCACCCCTGCTGTTAAAAAGAAAATGCCTCAGTGTTCCTAGTATGTTACAATGCTACTCTAAGAAGAAAGACTAGAAGAATTGCATATACTGTATCAAGAAGAATTTTCTCACTGAGCCAAACAAAATGCTTGGTACTTTTTTTTTTTTACAAGGAAAAGCAATGAAAATTCAGATACAGGATTTCACATAATCAATAAACATTTATTGAGCACATGTGATGTGCCAGGCACTGTGCTAAGTACTGGGGATACAAAAAAGGCAAAAGATAGTCCCTGTCCTCAAGGAGTTCACAATCTAGTGGGAGGAAGTTGGAAGACACATCAGAGATCATCTTATCCAGCTCGTTCCCTAAAGAGAATCATGTCTTCAACATCACCAACAAGTGACTTATCATACGTGTTCGTTGTGCCTATAACCAGCAGATTATATGATGCTGGCCTGAAGCAGAATGCCTCTGAGAATCAGGATTTCTAGTAATTGGTGATGTGCTGTAGATGGAACTCACTAGGCTACCCACCTCCTCTCCCTGTTACTTCATCTTTCTTAAATATTCCTGCCTTCAACCATTTGACAAATTTGTGCACTTTGCCATATCAACAAATCACATCATATAGATCAGGTAAATCCCCACCCCCAACCTGAAAATGATTGCAGTATAGCAAATTAAATTCAAGATTTTTTTTAACCAGAATACTGCTCAAATATTTTCCAATCTGACCAAATTTTTTCTAAGAATTCAGCAAGAACTACAACAATACCATATATTTACATGTGTATATATACATATGTGTGTGTGGTGCTTTATAGTTTACAAAACATTTTCACATGTTTTCTCTCATTTCATCTTAAAAAGTGTCATTATCCCTATTTCACAAGCAAAGAAACTGAAGCTCAGAGAGGTTAGGATCATAGAGCTAGAGAAACCTAGGTTGAAGCTAGGTGAAACCTAGGTTTTTAACTCCGTGTTCAGTGCATTTTGGAGAATTTCTAACATGGCTGTTTTTGCTGTATTATACCTCAATGTCGCCTTTGCTAAATGACTACTTAATACCTATGACCCTCTTCCCTCATCTCCTAATAATCACATATCCATTTCTTCTATGGTAAGATTTTTAAATCATTTTTGTGGAATAGACTCCTCCCTTTTGGTAGTCTGTTGAAGCCTATGGACTCTTCTTAGATTCATGTTTTTTAAATGCATAAAATAAAACACATAACATTATAAAATAATTATTTTGAAACACATTTATCAAATTAATTTAAAAAAAAACAAATTAACAGGCTACCTTAAATCTATCCACAGATAAGGTTAAGAACCCTTGCTCTAAGATTTTCTTTTTTAGCTCATGAACAACATACTAGCAACCTGCTGATTTGTTTTGCAATTGTGCCTCCTTGTATAGTCTAATTAGGGTTCCCCACATGTTTCTATTTTAACTATATATGTCTGTACAGAACTTGTGTCATTGATGTTATCACTTTTTCTGGGGGAAAACTGTTTTAGATAAACAGACTGATCATTTTAAGTATTGTAGATGAAACACGTGGTTAGAATTTTTATTTAAATTTAGTAATATTCCATCCACTAACTCTAGAGTAAAGCTTTCAAGATATATCTGCCTTTAATTTTGCCTGTTAATGTTTCAACAGTCTTCTCTAAGAAGTATTTTCTAAGTGGCAGTTTGCTAGAAGAACATAATTCCTTTTTTCTCAGCTAAGAAATGACATTTTGAAGTTGTAAAAATTGTGCCCCACGGCAATAGGACACATCAGAATAGATGAGAAACAAGCACAGCTCCCACCTACCCACTCCAAAAAGTAAAAAAACAATCCTACCCCACTACTTTGCAAGAGTGAGAGGTTCACAGGTGTGGTACAATGCTCGTATTTTCAGATTTTTTTCTGTTGCATTGAACAGTTTTGCTGATTTCTCCCTTTTTGTCTTTAAAAATTTCATTTGTTATGTGAGATGACTTTCTGGGGAAAGAGGGGGAGAGGAGTACGGGGACAAATTTTGGTGGTATAAAAAATATCAAAAATTTATTTTGAAAAGCTCTTTAAATAACTGATCCCCTAGAAAAGTATTTTAATACAGAATACAAAAGATGAGTATTTGATAATATCCTTTTCTTTTTGCTTTGGCATCTTTTATGCTAGAGTATTTAGTAGTATCTCTTTGAGGTATAAGCTGAAATGGGTCTAATCAGAATAGTCTAGCTAGATAGGAAGAGTCTAATAGTTATTATATCTCTAGACAGGCTAAAAGGTTTAAAGTAGAGAAGTAGACTAAAGAAGGGAGGATTAGACAGTCCAAATTCTAGAAGGTCACTCAATAAAAGTTTCACTAATAAACAGGAAATATGAAAAGGGAGTTCTGATACTGAGGTGAAGTACTCTCTGTTCTGCTTTATACTGTCTTCTGGGTATGGGTAACCCTAAGCCTTCTAGCTGTTGATCACAACCAGAAGATGATTCAGGTCAGGGAAAGAAGTAAAGAGAAGAGTAGAAGTTTTTCTAAGAAATACAGTATATAGTTTGTGACTTGTTGCAATTAATTTCTAACCTAGTTGTTATCAGTTTTGACTATCAGGAGGTATCTCCACAAGTATTGACTGCCATATACGTTTTTTCCTATATGTCAGTTTCAATTTTTCTCTAGAAGACAGTACTGAAAGAGACAAGCGATAAAAAGAAGGGAATTTTAGCCTTTCAGCTTATAACATTTAGGTAACTATAACCCGAGTCATATGAATGTGAGGCAATCTGTACTAGAAAATATCTCAAAAATTGTTGACAAGAACCACTTGAGTTTAACCCCATGTGGGATGGTGTTACTGAACGAATTCTACTAGGATGCTTCCATGTCATCAAAAATGACACATTTCTTACCCCTTTACTCTGAAAAAAACTGAAGCTACTTATTTGAAGATTCTGTGATATCCTCTTTGCCCTGGCCAAAAATACAGTCTGTAGTAGCAACCCAGTTTTTCAACTGATACTGATGACTTAGCTATAATTCTGATCTATTATATTGATAACTTAGTTTTAATTCTGATGCTAAGTGTTTTATATTACCATTGCTACGTGATCATTGTTTTCTGAAATAAAATTTTGACTTTGATGGAACCCTTCTCCCAAAGCCCTGCGTATTATTTGTAATAAATAAATAAATGGTAATGGCAATTTGTACATTTCTTACAATAATTCCAATATATTGTATGATCTAATATGTTGACCCAGTCATTATTTTAATCATCATTATGATTATCAAGAGTAGTCTTTAGATACTTATTGATACATGGTACAGTGATTCATTTTGGTGAGTTAAGAGAAGTCAGTCTCTACCCCTTAGGAATTTATATTCTAAAGCAGACAGCAATGGCATGAATCAGAGAGAGATTGGATATATAGTGCATCATAAAAAATACACACATAAATAAGGTCAGTACTTAAGGCATCATAAGTAGATTTACTGGGTTGAACGAAAAGTACATCTGAGAAATTACATCTTATAGAACATAGGAACATTTTTGAACTGGGAGGGAATCTCCTAGTCTAACCTTGTCTTTTTACAGACAACAAAACTAAGACCAAGAAAGTTTAAGTGGCTTGTCCATGATTGTTCATAGCACAGCTTGAACTAATAGTTTGGCTGGCTTCTGGTCCTTTCATTGTTCTTGTGATACACTGCCTTTTCAGGAGTAATTACTACAACTCTTCTATAATTAGTTAGAGGAGGCTTCTTGGAAGAGGTGGGATGTTAGTTTTCTCCTTGAAATCATTTACATCAAGACTGTAATTGTATTAGCTCAGCAGATCTGTATTAGCTGAAATTGACACAAGTCTAGCATGGTTTACATAATGTGGTTCCATTAGACCTTGTTATAGTCCTAGAAAGCAGTGGTTTCTATCATTTGTCAGACTGTGTACAGGTTCAATTTCAATTTTTCTAACTTTTTAATTCTAGGCTTGGGCACTGCTCTTGACCATCTTTTCACTTTTATATAATTCCGTTGTTCATAAAGTTCTTTCAAATAGAACTAGAAACCTTGAGTCTTCATAATTTCAGGAACCTATTTATACAGCTCCTTCTCAGGTACCCTTCATTACAAAGCCTCATTTTTCCATATTCAAAGCTGAACATCATGATTTCCTACAATTATAGGAAATCATTCAACTCCAGCTTCCCAAACTGTGCCATCTTTCTTTGTTTTTTTTTTTGTTTTGGTTTTGTGTGTGTGTGTGTGTGTGTGTGTGTGTGTGTGTGTGGGTAACTTTTTGTTGTTGTTTTCAGCACCTGGTTATCATCATAGTTTTGTTTTGCTGGTGTTCTGGGCACTAAGCCTAGCCTTTTTAGCTTTACTTTCCTGTCCTGTGCAGATTCCTATATTTTTACCTTCAAATAGGTTTCCTAAAAAGTAATAAGAGTAAGTAGCAACTGTGCATTATTGCTCGTGAAACCTAAAAATTATGTATTTAACTTTGGTTCTTTCTTTCTCCCCCTAGGGCTTGCACGAGACAACGCATGCTGAGCGGATCATTTGAGGGGCAGCCAGCAAAAGAAAGGTCAATACTCAGTGTGCAGCACCATATTCGTCAAGAACGCAGGTAAATGCACTGGGCAGGGGGAGGAGGGAGGGAGTTTTTTGGAGAAAAAAAAATTAGATATTTAACTGAAAGAATTAAATGTGCACACATCTTAACTGCTATTCTTGGAAAGCAAGGACCAACAGAATAAGTTGCATCTGTGGGTAGTACCAGTAATGAGGTTTATTGTCTCATAAAACAGGGAAAAGCTTTTTTATTTCAAATGTCATTTCCTTCACTCACTACAGATCTATTGAAAGATCCAAAGGATAAATTAATTTTTAAAAGGATTAGAGACAATTGAAGAACATAAGCTTCTGATGTAAAGAGAAAGTGAGATTCTATTGCATTTACATACACACATATTAGGAAAGTTGTTCTTTATAATGGCCATCATTTAAAGGTCACAGTTTGATCCTGAGATTTGTCACCAAATTGATTATGATTGTTTCAGGTCACTGAGACATGGTTCTAACAGCCAGCGAATCAGCAGGGGAAAATCTCTTGAAACCTTGACTCAAGATGTAAGTTCTTACATGATGCTTTGGGTTTCGGGAACAAAATTATGACTTTCCATTTAAATGGTTGTTTACACAAATTCAGTGTCTAGACTTTCGGAGCAAATTTCCAGAGTGCCCTGAGATTTAGTCCCAAATGGATTTTTTAAAATGACATCACTGTGATATATAATATTATTTATAGAAGAACCAAAACATGTTCCTTCCACAGTATTTTAGTTCAGTGAAAATATGCTGTAAATAACTGTTATAATTAGAGAAATATATTTACAATATATTTAAAGACTTAACAAACAGGTCTTATGTAATAGGGATGATGAACAGCAGTTACTATTGACATATATTGTGTTTAAAATGTTCTGGCTCTCATAGAGAAGACATAGTCTCTGCCCTCTAGAAATTCGCATTCTAAAAAAATTAAAACACTTTTAGAAGCCTCAATCTTTCAATATTTGTTTGGTATTCAGCCAGGCATTTGTTTAGTTAAAGCTCCTGGGTTATTCCATACTCATTTCTTGCTCAAAGAGGGAGTTATTACTTAATTACTACTATAATTTGATAATTATATAACTCAGAGGTGTCAAAAATACAAATTGTGGGCTGTATGTGGCCCACAATACTCTGTAGTACTATTTGCATAAGGTCAAAATATAATTGAGAAATATTTAACAAAATAGAAATAAAATTAAACATATATTTATATGTCATTTTTCCAAATTGGTATGCAGCCTGCATGGATCCTTATTTACAGTTTAGTGGCCTCCAGTTTCTATTTGAATTGGACACTCCTGATATAACTGTCACTAGCTGGCACAGGGGTTTGAGCACTGGACTTGGAGTCAGGAAGAACCAAGTTCAAATCTGACTTAAGTCACTTAGTGGGAACCCTCGGTAAGTCAAATAACTGCTGTCTCAGTTTCCTCATCTGTAAAATGGCAATGATAATAGGACCTACCTCAGGGTTATTGTGAGGATAAAATGAGTTGGAATAATGTGTGCAAATAATCCAGGAGATGGCAAGTGAGGGAATAAAAGGACTTCTAAATCATTTATCTGCCTTTTCTTAACAACTTTAGGAGTTTTCAACTTTAAATTTTAGCTGTCAGTTTTTGAAAACAAATTCTGATTGCTTTACCATCTAAATTTATTCTAGTTGCTAAATGATCCAGTCAAAATTATAAGCTAGACAAAGTTCATCTTCAGTGACCCCTGTCTTGCCTTTCTGTTCTTTCTCCACATCTTTTCATTTCTCACTCCCAGGTACCCAGAGTTCTCTTACTGCCCAGATGACTTCTGGTTTCAAAGGAGAGTGATAATCTGCTAAATGAATCCACACTAATATATTAGTGACTTGGTGTTTTGTCCCTCCCAGTAGTATTTTTTTTAAAAAAAGACCAAAAGGAGAGGGCAACATTTAACCCCGAAGAATGACTCTTTAATGATAGATTTCTAAGCACTGTGACTCCAGAGTAAAGAAGATCTTTTGAGGCATGGGGCCCTTCAAATCCCAACATATAGTCAATAGTTATGGCCCCTAGAGGTCCCCTCCTTCAATTGCCGATTCAGATCATTTCAGAACCTTTCCATGTTTCAAAGTGGAACAGGGTTTCCTTTTTTTAATTAATTTATTCATTTTTAGTTTCCACTTCCACAAGATTTTGAGTTCCAAATTTTCTCCCTATCTTGCCCTTCCACCACCCCAAGATGGTATGCATTCCAAATTACCCCTTCTCCTAATCTGCCCTCCCTTCTATCACCCCCTCTTCTCTTATCCCCTTCCCCTTCAATTTTCCTGTAGGGCAGGATAGATTTCTATACCCCATTTCCTGTGTATCTTATTTTCCAGTTGCATGTGAAAACAATTTTTTTTTCATTTTTGTTTTTAAAACTTTGGGTTCCAAATTTTCTCTCTTCCTTCCTCCCCCCCACATTGAGAAAGCAAGCAATTTGATACAGGTTATATATGTGTAGTCATTGCAAAACACTTCCATATTAGTCATGTTGTGAAAAACCAAGTATATTTCCCTTAATCCTTTCCCACTCCCCATTTATTCTATTCTCTTTTGACCCTGTCCCTCCTTAGAAGTGTTTGCTTTTGATTACCCCCTACCCCAATCTGCTCTCCCCTCTATCATCCTCTGGCTCTATTGTCCCCATCCCCCCCTATTTTCCTGTAGGGTAAGATAGATTTCCATACCCAATTGAGTGTGTATGTTATTCTCCCCTTAAGCTAAATCTGATGAAAATAAGATTCACTCATTCCCTCTCACCTTCCCCTGTTTCCCCTCCACTGTAAAAGCCTTTTCTTGTCTGTTTTATGTAAGACAATTTACCCCATTCTACCTCTCCCTTTTATCCTTCTCTCCATATAACCCTCTCTAACTCCTTAATTTTATTCTCCAGATATCACCCCTTCATCTTCAACTCACCCTGTGCCCTCTATCTATCTATCTATCTATCTATCTATCTATATACACATACATACATATAATTTTTCCCTCCAACTACTCTAATTCTGACAAAGGACTCATGAGTTACAAATATCTTTCCATGTGGAATGTAAACAGTTCAACCTTAATAAGTCTCTTATGATTTCTCTTTCCTGTTTACCTCTTCATGTTTCTCTTCAGTCTTGCATCTGAAAGTAAAATTTTCTATTCAGCTCTGGTCTTTTCATCAAGAATGACTAAAAGTCCTCTATTTCACTGAATATCCATTTTTTCCCCTGAAGGATTATGCTCAGTTTTGCTGAGTAGGTGATTCTTGGTTTTAATCCTATCTTCTTTGCCCTCCAGGATATTATATTCCAAGCCCTGTGGTTCCTTAATGTAGAAGCTGCTAAATCTTGTGTTATCCTGATTGTGTTTCCACAATACTTGAATTGTTTCTTTCTGGTTGCTTGCAATATTTTTTCCTTGACTACAATTGGAAATTGACTACAATATTCCTAGGAGTTTTTCTTTGGGGATCTCTTTCAGGAGGTAATTGGTGGATTCTTCCAATTTCTATTTTGCCCTCTGGTTCAAAAATATCAGGGCAGTTTTCCCTGATAATTTCTTGAAAGATGATATCTAGGCTCTTTTTTTGATCATGGCTTTCAGATAGTCCAATAATTTTTAAATTCTCTCTCCTGGATCTATTTTCCAGGTTGTTGTTTTTCCAATGAGGTATTTCACATTGTTTTCTATTTTTTCATTCTTTTGAATTTGGTTTACAATGTCTTGATTTCTCATAAATAAATATATATAAATATGTGTGTGTGTACATATATATATCTATATATATACATCTCATAAATAAAATAAAGTCACTAGCTTCGAATTGCTTCATTCTAATTTTTAAGGAAGTATTTTCTTCAATAAGCTTTTGGACTTCCTTTTTCTGTTGTCCAAATTTGCTTTTTAAGGCATTCTTCTCCTCATTGGCTTTTTGGACCTCTTTTGCCATTTGGGTTAGGCTATTTTTTAAGGTGTTATTTTCTTCAGTATTTTTTTGGGTCTCCTTTAGCAAGATGTTGACTTATTTTTCATGATTTTCTAGCATCACTCTCAGTCTTTCCTCTACTTCTCTTACTTGCTTCTCAAAATCCTTTTTGAGCTCTTCCATGGCTTGGGACCAATTCATATTTTTTTTTGGAGGCTTTGGATGTAGGAGCTTTGTCTTTGTTGTCTTCTTCTGGTTGTATGTTTTGATCTTCTTTGTCACCAAAGTAAGATTCGATGGTCTGACTCTTTTCACGCTGCTTGCTCATGATTCCAGCCAATTACTTGAGCTATAAACTCTTTGTTAAGGTAGGAGTCTGCTTCCAGTGTGGAGAATGTACTGTCCCAAGCTTCAGGGGTTTTGTGCAGCTGTTTTCAGAGATACTAAGGTGCTATGATCAAGGGTGAGGTGTTTACTCCTTTCTTGGCCTGTGCTGTAGCCTATGAGTGACCACAAGCACTCTTTTCTGTCTTGGAACTGTGAGAAGGATTTCCTCTCCACCAACACTACAAGCTCCACCATACCAGCACTCCTCCTCGTCCCAGGACCGCCACCCGGAACTGTGACCCAGATCCAAGCACTGGCAAAGCAAGAGAACCCTGCATCAGCAGAGAGATCCCTGCAATCTCCCTCTAATCAGCCACTCGATTCCCCCTCAGTCTGTGGGCCAGAAGCTCAGGAGGCAGCCACCGCCCCCAGATTGAGCTAGGGGACTGGGGCCTCAACTGAGCTTCTCTCTCATGGCAGTCACAGACTTTTCCCACTGACCTTCCAAGTTGTATTTGGTGTTCATGGGTTGAGAAGTCTGGAAACCGCCACAGCTGCCCACGATTCAGTCTTCTGAGGCCTGCTCCAGGTTCGCTGAGGCCTATGTACCCACGCCAAACTGTGCTCCTCTCCGTGCTCAGTGCAATAGACCTTTCTGATCAACCCTCCAGGCTGCCTTGGACTGTAAATTTGTTTCACTCTGTCTTTTTGTGAGTTCTGCTGCTTTAGAATTTGTTTAGAGCCATTTTTTACAGGTATTTGGAGGGGTTCGGGGAAGGGCTCAAGCAAGTCACTGCTTTTACTCCACCATCTTGGCTCCACCTCCTTGAAACAGGTTTTCTACTTTCCAAAAATGGAAGAAAAAAAAAAAACTTCACTTTGTGTGAAGTTTTGGTGAAAAAGTTTACTTTTCCCCTTTAACATGATTCTATGTAGTTGCAGTCAGATCTTTTTCAAAGCATAAAACCATTTTTGCTGGCTGTTCTGATTCTACGATGAAAAACAGAAGACTTCATTCAGTCGACAAGAATTAACTCAATGCATACAGTATACTGTGCTAGGTGCTGGCAGACACAAAAACCAATTTGAAAAGTTTTCTGACTGGCAGAGTACTGGATCTCACAACTTTCAATGTACTATTCAAAACAGGAGAAGATAAAAGAGTTATTTGTCAGCATAAAGGAGAAACTCACATAATCCTAGTAAATTTCTCTAGGGAGGAGAGATGGGAGAATATATAATTTCTCATTTCAAGCACAGAAGTTTAAGCCATAGGAAACCTAAGAAGTTTATCCAACATTGAGAATCATAGCAAAGTCTCTTTGAAGCTTTTTTTTTTTAAACTCCTGTTCATGTAGCTAGAGAATACATGGATATGTCAAAATAAGCATGGAATCAATACAATGAAGTTAGTGAGCAGGGCTCTGGACCCTTAATGCCTACATGAATATTCTGGGACACATGGGAGTTGTGGGTACTGTGGGCAGAGCTGACCTTTACATACTGCCAACCCTGAAAAAATGATCAACCTATGATCATGATGAAGCCTTCAGGCATCCTTACCAGTTAATTCACAGTCATGTCATACAGTTCAAGTATAAGTTCAGAACTCATAACCTATTCATAGTCACAGACCTGTCCAACTAACCACTGATGTTTCACCACAGAATTATGATTATTATTCCCCAAGTGACTTGTGGCTTCATAATTCTTTGGATGAGTATTAGGACAGAACATTATCATGAGAAATTTGTCTAAGGATCAACAGAGACAATATTGATTCAGAGTACTTCATTTCAAGTTGACTCACCAAAAATTCATTGTTTAAAAAGGCCAAAACAGAAGATGACTTTAAACATGTACTGTGTTTGGTGTTCAAGTAACCCTACAGAGACATTGTCAACTGCAGGATTTAAAGTTCCCTTGCTAGATTTCACTCTACTTTTGCAGTGGGACAGATTCATATCAAAAAATAAAAACAATGCAATCTTCCATGTTACACTAGAAGAATTTCCTGGTAATTGTGAGATATATGCACTTCGGCCAACTTCTAATTTAAATCTCCATTCTGCATCCCTGCCCCAATTTAGAGACAGTAAGTTAGTGAAAGTTTTAAATTTGAGTTATTTTTTTTCTTTTCCCAATACTCTACCTGACATAAGTATGGATAATGATAAATATGGGATCATAAAATTATAGACCCTAAGCCTGGAAAGGACCTTAGATGTCATCTTGTCTAACTCTCTCATTTTGCAGATGAGGAAACTGAGGCCCAAAGAGAAGAAATTGCTTTACCAAGATGACACATGCTAGAACCAGGACTAAAACCTAAACCTCCTGATTCCTAGTCACCTGTTTTTCTTATGATATCATGCTGCCACTCTAAAGACTTTATATGAACTTCAAGTTATATTTAAGGAGAGAAATCCCTTTATATGAATTTCAAATTAAATTAAGAAGAGAAATTCCATTGACAGATGATCCCATGTTATCTTTATAAAATGAGAACATAACTTTTCATGAAAAATTTAAATGATTTTATTGTGATCATGTAAAATAAATTTGTTCATTTGTCCTATATGCTTCTTACATATTTATAGCATTCCAACACAGTGAGATATAGAAATGCACAGAGAGAGGACAGTGAAATCAAGATGATCCAGGAAAAAAAAGAACAAGCTGAAATGAAAAGGTATTGAGTGATATAATGGCCCATGGGTCACATTTTAGAAGGATGCTTCTTTTGAAAAAAAAAATTTAACTTACTTTCCCATGAATCTTTTTTTCCCAAGGAAAGTACAGGAGGAAGAATTAAGGGAAAACCATCCATATTTTGACAAGCCCCTTTTCATTGTTGGCCGTGAGCACAGGTTCCGAAATTTTTGCAGAGTGGTGGTCCGAGCACGCTTTAATGCGTAAGTATATTCTATTTTGGTCAGTTCTTTCTCCTAAATTCACAAAGTAGGGGTTGTTTCATGAGAAAGTAAAAGAAATGTACAATTCTGAAAGGTAACAAAAACATTCTTGGACTAATTAATCAAACTGCTCACTTTTGTAGAGCAAACTGACAAGGTAGGGTAGGTGGAAGGTTTATGTTATTTAACATATATGTAGCACTCAATCATTGTGCAAAACACTTTGCAATCATTTTTGCTTGTAATCTCAGACAACCACTCAATGTGTTGCAGATCAATGTTATTAGCACCACAATTTATGAGCAGGAAACTGAGTCATAAGGAAATTAAAGCATTTGATCGGTGTCTTGTAATGGATGACCAATCAGGCCAAGAATAAGATTGAGCCTTTATGCCTTCACTGAAATTTTGCAGCCTCTTTGACATAAAATATACCACTCTGTGTAATTCAATATGAAGTGAAATGGGGTGAGGGTGGGCAGAAGGAATAATGCTTCTGTTGGCAACAGACATGTGCATATTTCTGTCCTTCTGTTTCTCTCTTCTCACCTGACAGGAGACGAGATTTACATTAAAAGCTGTGGGGGAGCCAGAGAGGTCCATAAGAAAGAACCATGTTCTTGGCTCTCTCACCAGGCTTATTGGGAACATAAAATGTAAAAGAGGACTTTTTTTTCCCTCAGATGTTATTTTAAGAAAACCTCAGCTAAAACCAGAAGTACAGGAGGAAGTAAAGCTTAAGTGTAAAATGTTTCCATGTCTAGGCTTGTATTCAAATGTACCTTCCCCAATGACAAAATCAATGAAAACAGATCCCTTTTATTGGTGGTGATTCTCTGTCATTATCAAGTATTCCACCATTAGTGGAATAACCACTTGATTTGGCGTCAGATAAATTGTTCAAGTCTCCCTTTGGCCTCTTCCTAGCAATATAACCTTAATTAAATCACTTTACTGCTCTGGGCCTCAGTTTTCTCATATGTAAATGGAGGTCGTTGAACTAGAGAATATGTAAAGTCCCATCCTGCCCTGACATTTGTGAACCACAGAATTTTAGAGATAATAGAAATCTTAGAAATTGTATACTACAATCTTCTAATAGAGTATCATCATTCTAGGGCTCAAGAGGTGTTAGATTGTATCTGGTCCAGCCCCATCTTTTTATAGATGAGAAAATGGAGGCTCATGAAGTAGAATACCTTATTCAAGGTCATGCAGTTAGTTAATGAGAAAAACAGAACTAGAACCAAAATTTTACCACTCCGAAATTTTGTGCTCTTTAATCTGACCCCAAATTTGCTGCTTTAAATTCTAGGTCATTTGTTCCTTGAAGCTTTACTAGGAGCTCACAAAGTTAAAAAAGTAGCCACTTACAGGTTAATTTGATCAATGTTGATAAGTCTCAAAATGGATTGTTTTATCTAGATTATATGAGATAGCTAGGTGGTGCAGTGAATAGAATACTGGACTTGGAATTGGGAAGTCTTGAGTTTAAATCTAGCCTTAGACACTTACTAGTTGTGTAACCCTAAGCAAGTCACTTAACATCTGCCTGCCTCAGTTTCTTCAACTATAAGATAGAGATAAGAAAAGCACCTACCTCAAGGCTAATGAGATATTTGTAAAATGCTTAGCACAGTGCTTGGCACATAATAGGCATTATATAAATACTAGCTATTATAATTCTTGAATGCCTACATGTTAGTCAAATTGTTATTTCTTCACTCAGGTCTTTGTAGTTCTATTGTCAACTTTGCTTTTTATAAAATTTATAAATTTAAAAAATTTATAATTTTTTATATTTCATAAAATCAACTAAAGACCAATCAGCATCTAACCACACACAAAAACAGACTTTTGTTCATCCATTCATTCATTCATTCAACAATTTATTGAATGCCTACTTTATCAGAGTTCTTTCACTGTTCTAAGAATTTGAGGGTAGGTGTTAGGGAGTGATATAAATTTGAGATAAGACATGATCCTGGCCCCTGTGAATTTTAGAATCTAATTTCCAACCCACATGGTCTCAGTGAAGGTATCCTACAGAATAGTGGTCTGATGTAGCAGGAAGTACTTTGTACCAAACTTAAAAATTATTTTAACTGAATTATTTAAAGAAATCTCATGGTGGGTCATGAGGTAAAGAATATTTTAGAGCATTGTTTTCAAATGATATTTGACATGAGAATCACATTTGTCTTTAAGCTCCAGCTAAAGGTTTTTTTAGTGCAACTATAAATTCTAAACCAAGGTTCCGACTGTATTATAAGTGGTAAAGTTTACTCTGTACTTACATTAAAAAAAAGTCTATAAAGTCTTTTTCTTTACCCTGTGTTATTTAAACTATTATTAAGTCAGTCAGACTTGGAAGATTTATATCAGCATTTATACACTCAAATCGCTGGAGGCTCTATGGATATGGGCTATTTGAGGATTGTGTACAAACACTGCACTACTGAGTCATACTCTGTTTGATGTATTGTTTAATTTGATATCCCTGTTATCTCTTTCAGTTCAAAAACAGACCCTGTCACAGGAGCTGTGAAAAATACAAAGTACCATCAACTGTAGTAAGTATCACAAACTCAACTTTCAAGGCACATTTGAAGTTTTCATGTACTGTTTTATGCTGCATCAAATTTCTCTGTTGTCCTTTATGTCCTCATTACACTGCTCAATGAAGTAACTGATGAAATCTTTCACAATTCTTTTAGTTGAGCTAAGAGATTCACAAAAACAATATGCCTTGACTCTTCAAGCCCTTTTCTGAAGCTTTTTATGATTCTTGACTATGTTTTCTGTTTTGCAGTGACTTGCTGGGATTGGTTACCTACCTGGACTGGGTGATGATCATTGTGACAATCTGCTCTTGCATTTCAATGATGTTTGAATCCCCCTTTCGGAGAGTCATGCATGCACCCACATTGCAGGTAATACTACCCACAAATAAGACAGAGAATGACTAATGTCTAATTTGGACCACTGAGTTTTCCCAAATTGGCTGCCTGCCCTTTTCTTTTGCAGATTGCAGAATATGTGTTTGTGATATTCATGAGCATTGAGCTCAACCTGAAGATAATGGCAGATGGTTTGTTTTTCACTCCAACTGCAGTGATAAGGGATTTTGGTGGAGTAATGGACATATTTATCTATCTTGTAAGTTTTAGGTCTTATCAATGTAAGACTTTACAACTTTGAAACTTCCTGTATTCCTAATGAATAGTTTTGGTACTTGGGCATGCTGCTTTCAATAATGATAGTAATAGCTCACATTCACATAGATCTACTTTAAGTAAGTACAACCTCCCTGTGAAGTGGGTAGCACAAGAATTATTATCTATCTTTTATAAAGAAAATGATGAGATGAAAAGTTAAGTATTCTTCCCAAATCTATTAATGGTCATGGTATCAGTGATTTAAAGCTGCAAAGGACCTTAGAGGTCTTCAAATCCAAACCCTTCACTTTATAGATGAGAAAGCTGAGAACCAGAAAAATCGAATGACTGGCCCAAGGTCACACTAGTAATAAATAGCAAGATTAGATTATTCCTGGGATGAAAAACAAAGGTCTTTTGACTTCAAGATCAGTGTCCAGTGGTTCAATCAATAAGTCATGGAACAGTTGATCCCAGAATTGAGCCCCTAAATTCAATTGATGAAATTTTCTTAATACATATATATAGATATAGATATAGATACATGTATATCACATAAAACTTATTCATGTAAGCTTAAGTACTTGGTATGAATTATTATAAATATCAATCATTAAAGTGATTACAGATCAAATCTGATTTGATAAATATGGTTATTCGTCATAGCTGAGTGATGGTACTCGGTAATAATTCATCATTTTCAGGAAACATTCCTTATTTCTCCTCTCTTCATCTTTCTTCTTCTCCTCCTTATTATCTTCTCCTGTTGTCAACACTTTATTCACTCCCTACTGAACTTGCAATTCATTCTTATCATGATGTGCTTTCTCTCAGTCCTTCTCAATACTTCCATATTGACTGGATTAGCCTCTCTATCCAACTTGGACCCCAGTTATTTGTTTGTTTTTGACAGCATACATGTGAAGTCATGCAAAACTTATTTTCATATTAGCCATGTTGCCCTTAAAAATGGCCAGAAAAAGAATAAAGAGATGAAGAATATAAAATATTCTTCAATCTGCTCTCAGAGTCTATCAGTGGTCTCTCTGGAGGCAGATGAGTATTTTTCATCGTGAGTCCTTTGGAATTATCACATATCATTGTATCAATCAGAGCAGTTAAATCTTTCACAGTTGATCATCATTACAAAATTGCTGTTCTCCTGACCCTGGAATTTTTAAGAATATCCTTTTCTATCTTCCATGAAATAAGTTTGTTTGCTATTCTCCAACCCAGGATAAACCCCAGCATTTGCTTGTTAATGGCATCAGAAAAACATAACAAATGTGTCCCCTATATATTCCTGCTATCCAACTGCAACTGGACCCTCACAAATGTCTGGCAGTCTTCTTCAACTTTTGAATTCTTATTCTGCTCACATAAATGTCCAATCATGTTCCCTTTAGAATTCCAAATTTCTATGTCTCTCTTCCAATCCCCAAACCCAACCCTACTTTCTCAGAACTCTCTGCAAATATTCTTCCTGTTTATTTTAATGATTTTAGTTTATAGGTATTTGTTATACCAGCCTGCTCTTCTCCCAAAGGACAGTTACTATTTGCAATAACATGAGCAAGGTCATAAAATGAGGCCAGTCAATTCCACTAAAAATATCTTCTAACTTTGTGGGTCAAACCTCAGAGCTACATTATTTTTCTTGATTCAGCCCTAATATTTTCAAATTTTTTCAAATTCAAATTCAAATTTTCCCTCTTGGTTTTTTTTTTCCTTTGCCTAAAATTACATTGAGTATCTCCTTTAAGCTAAAGGAAAACCTTCACCCAACCTTACTACCCTATCAATTTATTTTCTTCTATTTCCTTGCCTTTGCCACTAAATTTCTTGAATGAGTAGTCTACATTTACTCCCTCCACTTCTTCTCTACTGCTCAGTTGAGGCAGATTAATGCCACAATGGATACAAATTGTTCTGAACCTAGAGTTAGAAAGACCTCAGTTTAAATCTATCCTCAGAAAAATAGATCAAATTAAAAGATATATAGAAGGAAACTACATCTTGCAAAAAGGTACCATAGTAATATCAATACTAAACATATATGTACCAAATGGGTTAGCATTCCAATTTTTAAAGAAGTTAAATGAATTACAAAAAGAAATAGGGGACCTCAACTTTCCCCTCTCAGAACTAGATAAATCTAACCTAAATCTGACTCAGATACTTACTAGGCTGTGTGACCAGGGCAAGTCAGTTAATTGCTATCTGCCTCAGTTTCCTCATTTGTAAAATGGGGATAATAATATAGCATCTACCTCCCTTGCAGGATTGTTGTGAGAATGAAGTGAGATAACGTTGATCTCACAATATTATAATATATTATAACAATACCATGCTATAATAATGTATCAGATATATCACAATGTTTATATATGTATATATATACCACAATATAATATATTAAATAAGATAATAAATAATAGGCTTTGCAAATCTAAAATGCTATACAAATGCTAGTTATTACTGTTGTTGTTATCATTGTCAGTTTCCAGCCCCTTGCAATGTGGCATCTATCACTTTTAAAAATTACCAGTGACCTCCTGAAGGGCAAAGGAAATAGCATTTTCTCTGTCCTCACTCTCCTTTTCTAATATTTAGCATTTGGCAGTGTTGAGCACAGTCTCCTTCATGAACTGCTTTCTTTATTTGCCTACCCTGTTTCTGCATCGATTTAGAGCAAGTAGTAATACTGACCTGAATTTTCCCTTTGGGAGTCTTTAGAGCCTACCTCTGCATAATGGTTTCATTATATAATTTAAATTAATAAATGTGACACATTGATGAATTTCCACTCATGAATAACAGATAGACTTTATCCAAAATAAGGAGCTTTCTTTAGTTTTCCAAAAAAAATCTCTCTGAATACTGTAGGAGTAGAATATATGTCATTGTATTAGAAATATCTGAATTTTGATGAATATTACATTGAGAAAATGACAGATTTTTCCATATTTCAAATAATATTCCAAGGCTGTTGTTTCTTTTCCCCAGGTAAGTTTGATATTCCTTTGTTGGATGCCTCAGAATGTACCTGCTAAATCCGGAGCTCAATTGTTAATGGTGCTTCGGTGCCTGAGACCCCTTCGAATCTTCAAGCTGGTACCCCAAATGAGGAAAGTAGTACGAGAGCTTTTCAGTGGCTTCAAGGAAATCTTTCTGGTATGTTTCAATGACTTTCTTCTCTGATTCACATAATCTAGTAGAATGTAAGTTCCATGAGGTCAAGGACTACTTCATTCTTAACTTTGTATTCTCATTGCTTTTTAAATAGTAGATAATAAGTGCTTGTCTAACTGAACTGAGATGAAAATAAGTTAGTGTTCTGATACAGAGTATATAAAGATAACACAATAGAGGAGTTTTGCTTTTTCAATGTATTCAAGATTTACTTTTTTTGGTTAATGTCAGAGGTTAAAAAGTCAGTACAGAAAATTTTTTGTGAGAGTAACAACAATGATATACCTTTAAATGAATAAAAATGCTTTTGATTTCCAGTACATTTAATTTATCCAGTGTGCCAGGCTACCAGCAAGCAAAATCCACAACAGTGAAGCACAGTGGACTGACATGAACCTTCAGGAAAGAAACAAGAAGAAAATCAACTTCTGCTGACTTTCAGCACTTACTTTTGACCATAATTTTCTCTTGGTGCTTCAGATTCACCATCTGCAAATTAAGGATAAAAAGATTTAACACTATGTACCTCACAGACATAGCTAGAGATTAGCGATTTAAGCACAAGTGTAAACTTGATCAACAAAAATTCAAACATAAATAAATTAAATTAGGGGGAGATCATTTGCCTTACGGAAGGATCTTTGTTTTATAAAGGGAATTACCATTGAATTCTTTGAAGTAGTGAGTTCCTCTTCTATATTTATAAAATAATTATATTTACACAACTGTTTTAGGAACAACTCTTCAGCAACATACCTACTATGCAAACCAAGATGCAAAGTTAGTTGTATTTACTTTGCAGGATACCTCAAGACAGGATAATGATGTTATCTGCAGTATACAGTTGTTAACCTTTAAAAGATATCTCTGACTTTCCATATTTTCTTTAAACCAGAACTACATGGATGGGCTTTTACGGCATTTCACAGTCAGCAGTGAAAGGAAAAGGAACATTATGTAATGCTGCTAATTAAGACACAAATACTCAACCTCCTTTAAGTCAAGACTCTTTATGTGCTTAGTAATTTAGAACAAACATTTGAATAATCTTTTATATTGTGGCCCTGTGGTAGGGATATTTTTAACCCTCTACTTCTGTTAATGATTGTATTTAATGATTGTATTTTCTGTGTAATTTCAAGCATACTGAAAGAATATATTTTAGTATCTCGACTAGTATAATTTAATAGCTATTCCAGTGTTCTGTTTTGATTAAATTAAGCCACCAGCAGAGGGAGCAAAAGGAATCTAATGAATAACAGTCTCTGAGATCTGCCATTATTTTCTAAAATCTCAGCACACAGGCACGGACCGCCCACAAGGCAGTAAACTTCACACTACCGCTCATTTGTTCCCTTTTGATGGAGACTGAAATCCATTTTGAGCAAATGGGAGGAAAAAACCAATTGCAATAAGAAAGGACTGATTTAATTCCCTGAACAAAGGATAGCAGAAGTTCTGGTGCTAATATACGAAGAAAAAGAATCTAAAAATTCTTTTAAAACCCCTAGGCTCTTTGCTTAAGTGGAAGCTATGAATGAAGGCTAAGTTTTTCTTCTTCATGTTAATAACATTCATGTATATGAAAGGTAGCATGACAAAGTGGAAAATGAGATGCGTTTGTCATTAGAGGCAGCAAGATGGGTCAGTGGATAGAGTGCCAGGCCTGGAGTCAGGAAGACCTGAGTTCAAATGTGATCTCAAACACTTACCAGCTGTGTGACCCTGGGCAAGTTCTTCCCTCTGTCTGCCTCAATTTCCTCAACCATAAAATGGGAATCATAACAGCACCTTCTTCCTAGGATTGCTGTGAGGATCAAATGAGATAACTGTTGTAAAGGGCTTGACCCAGTGCCTGACACATAGTAGGTGCTTAATAAATACCTGTTCCACTCCTTTCCCTCCCTTTCTAATTAAAAGAACTATCTTTGCTACTTACTACCCTTGTAACCTTGGGCAAAGCACTTTATTTACATCTCTGATCTTCAGTTTCCTCGTCTTTGAGAGCACTGATCCAAATGATTTTGTGTTCATTCTAAATCTTTTTTCTTTAACCACAACTATCGCCACCCCAAAGAAATAAATCAACTAACTTGACTTGGAAGGCATAACCTTTGACATCAGAGACCAGATCCTAACTTGTGGTTCCCTAATACCTGTGTGATAAATGTCAGCTCCTATATTATATTTAGCATTTAAAGCCCTTCACCACCTATCTCTGCCCCACCTTTCCAGTCTTTTTTGCACAGTATTTCCTTTCTAATTGTATAATCTAGCCAAACCAGATTATTTACTCATCCTTACTAAGGATATCACACCTCCTGTCTCTACATCTTTCCACTGTCCCTCATGCCTGGAATACACTCCCTCTCCTTCCTCTTAGAATTTCTCGTCTCCTTCAAGATCAGTTTAAAGTCCACCTCTTCTAATACTCCCAGCTGCTAGTGCCCATCTATTTCACAAATTGTTTTGTATTTACTTTGTATATAATCTGTGTGTATTGAAATGGGAACAAGCTCTTTCCCCGAACAGAACATAAGCCTCCTGAGAGAATAGGGCTTTCATTTTTGTCTTTTGTCTCCAGTGTTTGGCATGGTTCCTGATACATCCTGGGCACTCAGTATATGCTTACTTTATTGATGAATGTCTGGGAAGTAACAGGGATATTGTTCTAATGTTTAAGTTGTGAGAAAAGAGTGTTCATATTTCTTCAACCTTTCAGGTCTCCATTCTCTTGCTGACATTAATGCTTGTTTTTGCAAGCTTTGGAGTTCAGCTTTTTGCTGGGAAGCTGGCAAAGTGCAATGATCCTCACATCATGAGAAGGGTAAGGAATTCTGTTCTCCTTTATGGTACAAAGCCAAAATCATGTTACCTTCTCTCACTAAGCAAGTCATTCCACGGAGGCTTTTTACTTTAAAACCCTTCATTTTTATCTTAAAACCATTTAATTTTTCTCCTAGTAGTTCTGAAACAATCAGTAGCACTGATTTTAAACTCCTAGAAGACAAGAATTGTCCTTTCACATAGTAGGTGCTTAATAAATTTTCATTGACTGACTAAGCTAGATATTTAAACAAATGATGTCTATAGGACATAATACACAAGAACAATGCAAAAGAATGGAAATTTTCTTATGTTAATCTGTAAGCTCAAAAAGAAAATAAGGGATTTTGATAGAAGCTAACTGAAATAAGAATGCAACAGAATTAATAGCACAATTTCATGAATGAAGCCTGTAGGAGTTTTGGGTGACTCAAGATATTATTAATAGCCTAAAGAAACTTTCAATTCTAAGTCAAATCTAGTCAAATCTCATTCAAGTATTCAACTATTCTGGTAGGGAATATATTTATACATAGGACAGGCAGACAAATAATCATATCAAAATGAAGTAGTATCCCTTTTCCCAGAGGAGGTGAGACAGGAAAGGGAGATTGAATGGGAATGCTGTGAAAAACCAGTAGGAACAATGACATTCTTAAGCAAAGAAGGCATGAACAAAAGGCCGAAGGAGAGGAGATGTGGCCCATGCCCCCACATAACACCCTATCTAGGCCAAGACATGCAAGAATTTTGCCCTATTTGGGGAAGTCTCTCCCCATTTCAGTCCATTCTCCAGTCAGCTGTCAAAATGGTCTTCCTAAAGTGTAGTTCTAATCATGTTACCCCTCAACTCAGTAAAAACCATTCGCTCCATAATACCTCCAGGTCAAAAATAAAATCCTCTGTTTGGCATTCAAAGCCATACATAACCTGGCCTCCTCCTACCTTTTACAGTGTTTTCATACCTTCCCCTTCCCCGACTTCTTACCTTCCCTCAACCCTGCAGCCCTACACTCTATGTTCCATGGACAATGATCTCTTTGCCACTTAGTCACCTCCCAACTCCAGGAAGCTGTCATCTCCATTTGTTAGATGGCACTCCATCTCCCAACTATAGGCATTGTCCTTCATGCCTGTAATCTCTCCTCCATCATCTCCACCTCCTGGCTTCCCTGGTCTCAAGAACCAGCTAAAATCCCACCTTCTACAAAAAGCCTTTTCCTGATTCCCTTTAATGCTAATGCCTTCCCTCTGTTGATTATCTCCGATTTACCATGTAAATATCCTGTTTGTATATAGTTGTTTGCATGTTGCCTCCTCCATGACACTGTGAGCTGCTTGAGAGTAGGGGTGGTCTTTTGCCTTTCTTTGTATCACCAGTACTTAGAACACATAGTAGGCACTTAATAAATGTTTACACACTATCTAGAAGTCTTCTCCCCTCCCCCATTACCTAGAGAGGCAAACCTCCTCCTAATGTCACTTGTTGGCTCCGTGAAAACATTGGCATTAGGCAAAACAATGTTATGGGGACAGTTTGTTCTATAGCAACAGTGTGATAAGTGAGGTTTCACAGATTCAAGGAGAACTTAGTTATAATGTATCTTACAACAAAATGACATTGGTCAGGGTAATTCAATGTGGGGTATTCCTATATTTATATTTATTATGAAAATATCTCAAGGTCTCCATTTTACATATTTCCTGCAGACAGTCCCATCCTCATGTCAAGTGAAACTTTTAGAGAAAGAAACTTTGACCCAGCATAGGTCTATTTCCAAAGATGATTAGGGAAAAAGGAAAAGAATCTATATATTCTAAAATATTTGTAGTAGCTCTCTTTGTGGTGACAAAGAACTAGAAATTGCAGGGATGCTCATTAATTGGGGAATGGCTAAACAAGTTGTGATATATGATTGTAATGGAATACTACTATGCAATAAGAAATGACGAATTTGAGAATCTCAGAAAAACATGGAAAGACTTGTACAAAATAATAAAGAGCGAAACAAGCAGAACTAGGAATATTGTATACAGTAACAGCAATATTGTTTTAAGAATGACTTTGAGCGAAGTCATTTTGACTATTATAAATACCCAAATTAACTATAAATGACCTATAAAGAAGGAAGCTATCTGCATCCAGAGAAAGATCTGATAAACAGAAGTATGTATAGAAATATATATAATATATGTAAAATATACACACATATCTATTTTATATATCTATATGTTTGTATCTAATAGTCATTTCTAGGGCAAGGGAGAAGAAAAAGAAGAAATTTACATGATAACTTTATTATACCAAGTTGTGCATAATAAGTTTGTAGTTTCATATACAATCACCTTTTTTATTATACTATGTTATGGAAATGCTTGTTTTATTCCATAAATTTAAACAAATGAAAATTAAATTTAAAAAAGAATAATAAACAAACTTAAACATTCCTGGGTGAAAAAAAGAAAGAAACTAAAGTCAAGCACTGGGGTATGTCAGGAGATGTCTGGAAGCAGTAGAGAATGATATTCCTCATGAGCCTTAGTTCAATCTTTTCAAAAAAAGGTAGGGGGAGAGAGATAATAGATTCAAGGAGGAATACAGAATACCCTTAAAATACCACATAAACAACAGATGACACAGATTATGTAGCTTAGGTTGAACCTAAAGAGAGTTAATGTTGTATTTGTTCCATTGCTTGAGGATTCTCCAGTCCTTCCCAGGAGTATATTTCTTGAGTACATACAAGTTAGATTACATCATATACAAAGCTTGCCTATCATATCATGTATCTACACAGACATGACCTTAGACTAAGCATATTAGCCATGAACTTCCCTCCAGTCCTCTGCTATCCATTCTTATTCTCCATTTTTTATTGGAAAACAAATATATGTTAGGCAAGTATTTATGGGCAAGCTAATTTATTTATTTCCTGGTTTTGAGAAATTGCTCTGTGTTTATTTATTTATTTACTTCCACTATCACTAAAATGTGACACCAGAACAATCCTTATAAATAAAGAAGGTATAACAAAAGAAAATTATGACAAAAGATTTTGTTTGGAGATTTAAGAAATAGTCTCTATAGATTTGCATCCCCGTTACATTTTCCCATTTTAATTGCTCATGTTTCTTATCTTTTAAAATACCTGTTTTACAACTGCCCTTAAAATATCTCATGATTTGCATCCTTCATTTTGGGGATGGTAAATAGGTGGATTCCTATTTACTAGATTTTCTCCTTGTTTCTCCTTTAGGAAGATTGCCATGGCATATTCAGAATTAATGTAAGTGTTTCCAAAAACTTAAATTTAAAACTAAGGCCTGGAGAAAAGAAGCCTGGATTTTGGGTACCCCGTGTCTGGTGAGTAATTTTATTGAGAGAAAACTATCCTGTAGGATCTCAGTGATGTAGCATTGTGTAATAGGAATACATGGGGAAATAAGATAAATGCTAATTACTGGGTTATAAATAATCCTAAGAAATACAAATTAAAATCCACACATACAGTAGAATTCTGAATACAGTAAGGAGGGGAGCAAGTAGTAAATACATTGAGGTAGAATCCAACAAAGGTCATTCATGGTTTCTCACAGAACCTGGGCTATGTGTGCTGGCACATGCTGGGAGGAATATTCCTTTCAATGGAAGACCAATAGAAATGCTTCCCCCACAGGATGCACTGGCACACCCAGCCCATGCCCAGTAAGCTTATTCAATTGCCATTTTATTTAATAGTACTTCATGTCACATTATTTGAAAGTACGTAGCTGGAGCTCGAAGGATCATTAAGTTAACAGTACCATGTTTTTCAATACTTCAATCTAAAACTGGAGTGGTACATTTTAAGGTCTCAGCTATTTAGGCTGTATTTAGCTGGGATTTTTTATACTCATTACTGTTCTAGAACAAACTGTGTTTCTTCATAAAAAGTTTACAGAATATTAAGTCCTAAACTTTTTCAGAATATTTTAAAGTTGAAAATAGGAGCATAATTTTTAATGCAAGAAATCAATAGACTCTAAAATGGAACAAGATTCTTTCTATTTTGTCCTTCATTTTGTAAATCACAATTCCTCTGACTTAAAAGTATAAATAAACCATAGTTCATCTAAATACAGAAAGTTTGATGTGAATTATTATTAGGCATTTTGACCTTACTTTCAAAAATGTTCATTATTGCAAAATGTTGGAATTGCAAAGGAATTTGTACAACATTTAAACTTCATCCCATGGCAATTGACAAATAATTTAGTATGTTATCAGATTTATTAATGGGTTGGTGAAAAACTCTCTTTCAAATGAATGTCATCCTTAAATAGAATAATTTCTACAATTATCTTTCAGTTGCTTACCCAAGCGAGATCAGCTATTATGTGTGATTCTATATCAATTATGTGAGAGTTGTAGGATCAAAAAAATTATTTGGGATTGTATTATCAGCTAGACAGACTCTATGGATTACAATAAAACAGTGTTTCATCCATTAGAAAGAGCTATATCTTCTTTCTTCAATATCCTTTCAAGAAAAGCTGAATTTGTTCTTTTGAATAGCTCTCTGGTATTTCAGGGGATGCCCCCTTAGTAAAAAGAAAAGACAGAGGGAGAGGGAGAGGGGGAGAGGGAGGGAAAGAGACAGAGATGAGAAGTAACGTGTAAATATTTATTTAGTGTTAGACTTACAGCAGCCTTTTTTCTTGAGTACAACAAGGAAAGGGGGAAATATTTGCTTTTTCTCTACACTAACATAAGAGCAAAATCAGCTAGGATTTCTAAATGTTGCCAGATGAGTGAATTCACATTAGGTGATTCGATCCTCTGTGCATTTCCTACTGGAACATATACATTAGGCAAATATTAATGTCCAACATGACTTTTTATTTGTCTGGTTTCTTATTTTTCTGATTTAGAAATGCATTGCATTTTTTACTTAATTATTTACTTTTCTAAAATGTTATGCCACAGTAGTCCTTTCAAATAGAAAGGTTACTACCAATGAAAATATGATAAAGGATGTTGCTTGTGCTCTATAAAGCTTCCATTATAGTTAGAGATATCAACTCAAGTAACTTATCCAATTTTAAGGGAAAGGAAATAAACACAAAAGGCATTTTATATGGTTAAAACTGAAAGTTTTGGTGGGTTTTTTTTCTAATATGTGATTTACTCTCTCTTTTCATCCTGAAAGTGTGCTTTTCAAGGTAATCTAACTCCTGAAGCACATACATCATGAAAGTAGGTTGTTATTGCAAATTCAGCTCTAAAACTCCCACTATTTTTGTGTGAAGAAAATGTCTGGGTCAAACAGTATACAGTATTAGATCTGAGAGTCATGCCACACTACTGGGGGAAAAAAAGTCATCATTTGAGCAAACTGTGGCATCTGCAAAATTCTTTTTTTTTTTCTTTCTGCTTCTTTCTGCTGCAAAAAAAAAAAAATCAGTTCAATTGAAATCCCAAAGGAAAGATTCTGTGAGTAATTGAGCACAGTACATATCTACTTTCATATATCAAACACAGCACAAAACCAGAACCCCCCAAATATGAATTTTGTATGCCAGTATTGCACTGCATAAAACATTCATTGTCACAGATGAAGATAGAATAGTTATCCCCATTTTAGTTTTGATAATAATAATAATAGTTTATTATTAGATCTACAGTCTGGTTTGTTTGTTTTTTTTTTGCATTGGAGAGATAAAAACTACAACAGTGTTTTGTGGTACTATTCTACTATAAAGCAAATAGTAGTGGTAAGGTAATGAAATAGATTATTCCATGCTTCACTGAGACAAATCAGACCTTTCCCTCTTTTACATGTTAAAGTTGACTAAACTGGTCTGTAGTTAAAGAAATAGATAAATATTATTGTTGTTGTTGTTCAGTCTTGTCCAACTCTTTGTGACCCCATTTGGGGTTTCTTAGCAAAGATACTGGAGTGGGTTGCCATTTCTTTCTCCAGCTCATTTTACATATGAGGAAACTAAAGCAAACAGGATTAAGTGACTTTCCCAGGGTCAGACAGACTTCTCTGAGGCCGCATTCGAACTCAGGTCTTCCTGATTCCAAGCCCAGTTTTCTATCCACTACAATACCTAGCTACCCTAGTCTATAGTTAAAGAAATAGATAGATATACAAATATATCAAATATATGATGTGGAAAGTACTCAACATTTTTGCTTTTAAAATTAACTTCAATCTTAATGAGAGTAATAGAGTATAAAGACATTTCCCCAGATGCCCACTATGCTCATTTTTCTGAAATAACACAATATCCAGAAAAAAAAATTAAATTAAAAAGTCCCAGAATTAATACTAACGAAAATAAGCTAAGAGCCAAAGCTATAAATGTGAAAAGGAATGCAATATAGTGGTCAATCTGCTGACAAAAAGAAAAGTTTGCTCTCATCAGCTACCAGTGAGTCTCAGAGGTAAGCACTTTGTACATCAAGGTCAATAAGTAGGGGAGAAGAGATGGGTAAAGGAAAAAAAAAAGCTGACATGAAAGAAAAATGTGAGCAATAAAGTGAAAAGAGTAGCAAGGAACAGAAACAGCAGAGATTATAAGAAGCCATGATAATGTCAATGAAAGGCAGTGAAATCATTACCTCACAAATACTTGAAAATAGCTCTCATGTCCCCTTTAAGTCTTCTCCAAGCTAATCATACTTGTTCCTTCAACTCATCTTCTTATGGCATAATGTCTACGCCCATCCTCTATCTGACAAATAGCTGTGGTGAAAATACTAACTAAAAAGAGTTCACATACCTGAAAACATTCAGTGCAGGGGCAAACAGCCAAGTAAACTTTAGTAGTCCCTGAGAACACTGCTGTCTCACTAATGGCACGCTGACCTTCAGTGAGCATAAAAGATCTTCTAGAACACAAAAAACAGGGGCCATCAACCTAGCTTAAGAGCAAATAGTCATACCTCAATAACTCCAAAAGTAATCACCTTCTTTGCTCAAAGTGCAGCAATTTGTGTTCATGATGTGTTCATCATTAAGAAACAGTCAAATTATACCTAGTATGTTCTTTTGGTTAGAGCAGAGAAATATATATTTTATAGCTTTAATTAGCATTTAAGAGATTAAAGCACATATAAATCGTATATAAATCAATCACACTTGACCAGAACACAGACAGGAATTACTTATAATGCCAAACTTTTTAATCAAAGTTATCCTTAGAGGTAGTAGGCAATAATGAAAAGGAAACAGGAATTTTCCTTACAGAAGACCTGGATTTGAGTCCCAGTTCTCATGCTGTGCTATTATAGGCAAGCTGCCTGGTGTCTCTGAGCTTCTATTCCTTTATCTCTAAAATGAGGATAATATGCTTGTTGTGAGGGTAAAGTACTTTGTAAAGTATTACATAAGCCTGAACTCAATATGTTCAAAATTGAAACTCATTTTCTTCCCTCCAAAGCAATCCCCTCCCTCCTACAATCTTCCCTATTTCTGTTGAGGACACCAAGATCCTTCCACTTAAAGAACCCCAAAGTCTCAGAGTCATCTTGAACTCTTTATCATCTTCCCACTCCCACCACCCGTATCTCCTAAGTTGACAAACCTTGTTAATTTCTACTTCCACAGCATGTCTCTCAACTTCCCCTCTTTCAGTTTATTAGTCCACCACTCAAGAGCAGGTTCTCAATCTCCTCTCAGCCGGACCATTGTAAGAACCATCACTGGCCTTCTTTCTTTTGGTACTTCCCTTCTCCAATGCATCCATCATTTAGCTTACAAAATTATCTTTCTGCTCTAGCCATTCTTTGTTCAAGGATCTTCAGGGGCTCCCTATTGTCTCTAGGATCAAATAGAAATTCTTCTGCATTCACGCCTTTGCACAGACTGGCTCATGTTGCCTGAGATGCTCTCCCTGTTAACCTCAGTTTCTTGACATCCCTTCTTCTACTCAAAACTAAGCTCAACTACTCTATTCTAGAGAAGGCGTTTCCCTCAGTTATGGTGCTCCCTCCCCCAAAAATGTTTTATATTTGCTCTGTATACTTTTTGCATTACCTCTCTGTGTGCATATCATCCTTCTCCCCGGTAGAATGTGAGCTCTTTAAAGGAGATGAGTTGTGTTTGTATCCTGAGAACCTAAGCACAGTTACCTGGTACATAGTAGGTGCTTAATAGATGCCTGTTGAATTGAATTGGCATGTAAAACCATAAACAACCAGCTTTCAGACTACCTTTCCATTCTCATTGCACAATTTCACCCTTCTTATACTCTCTAGTCCAGTCATTGATATATAAATTCTGATTCTATCTTCTACCTCTGTGACGTCTCACGAGCTGTCCACACTTGGAATGCCCTTCCTCCCGACCCCTACCTCTTAGAATTCTGAGCTTCCTTCAAGTCTGAACCAAATTGCCCCTCCTTATGGGAAGCCTTTCCTGGTCCTCTGAGCTATCTTTTCTTTATCGAACTGTTGACATGATGTATCTCCAGGAATGTGATGGTAAATGTTTAACAATTGGCTCACCAAAACACACACACACACACACACACTTTTAATCTGGATTATTAATATTTTCTCCATCACTTTCTTAGGTCTCGACAATCAACAAAACAATAAATCAAATGCTGATTTGTAGCAGTTTGCAGATTTCCAATGTGAAAAGGCTCAGACTGCAAATCGAGCAGTCAGCTAGATACTCCTAGTCTGGTTCCTGCACACCCCTGAATCCCCTAATAGTTCTTTGATAGGAAGGGCTATTCATAGTTTTGGTCTGTGCATCCCCAGTGCCTAGCCCAGTGCCTTGAATGTAGCAGCTGCTTAACAGATGCTTGTTGAATTGTATGCAATCGCTAATACTAAGATCAATATAAAGCAGAAAGCATCCCTTTCATAAGCATTTCAGAACATATATTTTCAAGGTTTACTGCAAGTAGAACATGCAGAAAGAAATGAAAGAGAGGAAAGGAAAAAAAAAAACTGAGTTTGTTTTTTTTTAAGAGATACACATTACCAGTTGGTTGGGAATTTGGATATAGGGATAGCTAACATTTCATTTTATTTGAAAAGAAATAGTCTGCTGTTGCCCAAAAAATGAGATCCAGACCAATTTAATCTAGTTTATTGATTCCATAAAGCAAACAGGATGTCATAGAGTCACTATTTTCAGAGGTCAAATGTGCAGTTCTCCAGTATCTAAAACTGAAAAAAAAATGACAACCACTTGCCCTAGGATGTTTTTTATCAGAATTTCACAGTACATTCCTCCTCTGAATTACAGGGCCAATCCTCGGAACTTTAATTTTGACAATGTGGGAAATGCTATGCTGGCATTGTTTGAAGTTCTCTCCTTGAAAGGCTGGGTGGAAGTAAGGGATGTTATTATTCATCGTGTGGGGCCGGTAAGCAAGCACGTCGAATCCTTTGAATGCTTCAAGAGCTGCTTTCATTTGCTTTGATGAATCACCATATTTTCCATTTATGCAGATCCATGGAATCTATATTCATGTTTTCGTATTCCTGGGTTGCATGATTGGACTGACCCTCTTTGTTGGAGTAGTCATTGCTAATTTCAATGAAAACAAGGTAAGAATTCTTCATTTGAATACCAAGGTGTTACACATTCATAGTTAGCCTTTACTTTGAAGTATTTTATTATGCACACACTATGAAAGCATATTAAACAGTAATGTAACTCGTGTAAATAATGTCTATGACTCTTTTACAAATAGCCTCATTGCTGTCTTTCAGCCACATTACTTACAAATACAATTTTCGCTAAATTTACACTTTGGGTAGCAGAGTGTTGTTTGATTCCCTGACAAGTGACAGTCTATCTCCTATCGTTCAAACAGAAAGGGAAGTGAAAAAGAGTTATTAAAATGCTGAGGCTGAAATGATTTCAGTGATTGCATGCAATGTTGCTTTCATAAAATATGAATTGTATGCTGTTATGGACCAAATTGTGCAATCAAAATTCAAGAGGTTGGAGGAGGGGAAGGTAGAATTTTCCCCATCTGGGTGAAGTTGGTCAAGCTTACTCTGACTTCCTAATTAACAAAGGTGTGGAGGGAAGGTTCCCAATTTTTTACATACTTTATACAAGGTAAATGTTCAGTTCATAATAATTTCATAGTATCAGTTCAAGTTTACAAATATTGAAAAAAAACAGCGAGACTATAATGAATAAGTACATAAGAATAAATTGGTAAGACTTCTGTGAAACACATAAATGTATAGTGGAGTGAGTTCTGGATTTGGAGTTAAAAGACCCGGGTTCAAATCCCACTTCAGATACCTACTAGCTATATAACCTTAAGCAAGTTGTTTAATCTTGTAGAACCTTATAATCCTCTTCAGTAAAATGAGGTTGATAACATGTAAGCTATTGATCTCACAGGATTTCTGTGAGAAAAATGCTTTGCAAATAAAAAGGATAGGTGCTGGACCTGTGATTTCAGTAGAATTAAGAACTCCTAAGGGGCAGCAAGGTGGCACAGTGGATAGAGCACTGGCCCTGAGTTCAAATCCAGTCTCAGACCAAACACTTGACACTTACTAGCTGTGTAACCCTGGGCAAGCCACTTAACCCCAATTGTCAAAAAATAAAATAAAATAACTCCGAGATGAGGAAATTCCTTCTAGCAATACCAGCTGGCACTTTTTCTTCAACTTACAGTCTCAGAGAGTTAGCAAGAGCATGGAAAGGTTAAGTAACACCACCCAAGCTTATAATACCTTTACTTGTCAGAGGTAGAATATGAACCTTGCTAGTTGATTCTGCCTCTAAGACCAGCTCTCTATCCACCAAAGTAAATAAAATTAGCTTATCAAAGCAATATTTGTGCATAAGCCAGAATTTTCTCTGTTGTGAGAATGCTTCGGTTCTCCCCAATTTATTACTGCTGAACAGTAGAGACAAGTAAAACCACACTCTCACACAAGGGCCCTCTAACTTACGGTCTGGGACTATTCCACATCAGTGACTACCTCCTCTAATAATCTGACCAGTTTTACTTTTATTCACTTTACTCCTTTTCCATACCCACAGACACAGACTATTGGAATCCCTATCCACTCTCCCAGGAACAGAAAGCTAAAAGACATCCTCCCCTGAGCTCAATTCCAAATGGGCAGGTCCTGAAGAAACTCCCATGTCATAAAATATACATATATATGTATATATGTATATGTGTGTGTGTGTGTGTGTATATATATATATATATATATACACATATATATTAAAGGAAGAAGATGGGTTTGAAAACTGCAAGAAGAGAATTTCTGAGGCCTGACAATCCTGAGATCCTCAATTTTGAAACCACAGATAATTTGAAAAACATTCAAATGATAGTAATTATTATAAATAAATATATATATATATATAATACACACACACACACACACACGCACACCAGGCTGAGGCAAGTGGCCAGAATCAGATTAGTAGTGACAGAGGTATCCTTCATAATAGTTCTGATTAACTAGGGTGACTGCCTTCCACTTGAACAACAGCTAATGAGAATATATTCCAGGTGCATTGTCTAAGCATTTATTCTTTGGCTGCAAGGTTAAGTCATTATACTTTCTCAGATCCTGCATGCTTGACAGCTTGACGTCTTGCATGATGGGCATGACTTTCATCCAGTACTTACAGGTATTTTTACTTCGCCACATGTGTCTTCTCTACTCTTGCTCACGTACTTCTGAACAGTAATGGAGGAAATCATGCAATGGTGTTGATCAAGTCCACTAAAAATTAATGTTATCTAAATCTTAAATGGGCTTTCACCGCCATCAGGCAATCCTTTTACTCTTTCTTCATTGAGTCTGTCAAATGCATGACAGCAGTCATTCCAAACTCTCTTCTTTCCTCAAGCTTCTCATGCCATTCTTCCCTTCCCCCCCAGCAGAAGACCTTACCCCATACTTGACTGAAAAAATAGAAGCCATTCACTCTAAGCTCACTCTTCTCCCCAACTCTGCATCTCAAAATCCCTTCACAACAACATGTATTCTCTCATCTTTTATTCTCTGATGAAAAGGTAACTCTTCCTTTTACCAATGAGAAGCCCTACCCTTGTTGAATTGCCCCACAATCATCCTTTCTCTCACCTTCAGTCTTGCATTATCTATGGGTTTCTTCCTTGATACCTACAAACATGCCCAGGTGACTCTGTCCTTAAAACCTTCACTTTACACTACTATCCCCTCCTGCTACTGATCTGTATCTCACTACCCTTTTCTCATCTAAACTTCTGGGGAAATAATGTCTAATATTCATTGCTTCTACTTCTCCTCTCATTCACTTTGCAGTCCCTTGAGATCTGGCTTATGATCTTATCATTCACTGAAATTGTTCTCTCCAAAGCTGTCAATGCCCTAAGTGCAACATCCAATAACTTTTTCTCAATCTTCATCTTTCTTGACATCACAACAGCACTTGACATGATTAACTACCCTCTCAACCTTCCCTTTTGATTTTCATGAGACTCTCTCATGGTTATCTTCTTAGCTATCTGGTTAGCCCTTCTTAGTCATATTTACTGGATCATCATCCAAGTCCCATTCCCTACCTGTGAGTGCACTTAAAGACTCATGTCTTCTTTTTCTCCATTCTCTTTTTACCGGTTCCATCAATTCCTGTGGGTTTGATTATCATCTCTTTGCCAGTTTACAAATTTATTTATTCAACTCTAGTCTCTTTCATGTATCACTACCTTCCAAGTGGGCATTTTGAACAAAGATTTATCAAATTCAACATGTCTAACAAAAGGATTCATCATCTTTCCACCAAATCCACCCCTCTTTCAAACTCTCCTAGTTCTTTTGAGGGCTCCACTATCCTTAATGATCATTCAGAATCTTTCTTTAAATTTTTAAAATTTTCATGTTCAATTCCAAATTCCCTCCTTCCTCTCACTCCCCCCACCCATTGAGAAGGAAAGAAATATGATACTCATTATATATATATGAAGTCATACAAAATATTAGTCACGTTGTGAGGAGGAAAAAAGAACAATAGAGGAAAGAAATATTCAACAGTCTGTACTTAAGAGTCCATCAGTTCTATTCAAATTCTCAATCTTTGTTTTTACTTTTAAAGTAGGATCTTTACATTTAATTATATAATATTTGGAGGATAATTCACTCTAACATGGAAAGATGCCAATGGAACATGTTATTAAGCCAAGCTGGATGATCTCCTCTAGAAAGTTTAAACAAATTGGTTGACATCTGTCATTCTGAAATAGTTCAGTTGCAATCCTGTCTGGAGGCAAGGGGAAGGACCAGATGAGATCTCTTTTAGCTTTATGATTTTCTGACTATTATTTTTGTATAATCAAGTTCAGCCTATTTAATTTTTCTGACTTCAAACTTTGCGTGGAAGCTCCTTTTGGCTTAAAATACTGGTTTATTTATTTGTTCTCATTCTTTCCATTCTCTTTGCATACCCAAATTTAGGGGTCCAATTATGACAGAAAATTTCCACTATAAATGGAGTTCTTCTATGAAATCAAAGAATCTCAAAATTGAAAGTTTTCTTCTTTGTCCAATGCCCATCTGAAATATGAAATGTGAAGAGGCTATCCAGTTTCATTTAAAACCTTCCACAGATTGTGAAGTTTTAAAAAGCATTTACAATTTCCTATGTCTAGGGTGGAATATACTTCCACTCACACACAAGTATGACTTGGTGGATAAGCCTTAAAGAGTTTCTTGAAGCACACAAAGTCAAGATAATTTGCCTAGGATCACCAACCTAGGAAGTTTCAAAAGATAGATTTAAACCTAGGCTTTCCTAATTCTAAGCTTAGCACCCTAATCACCATTCCAAGCTCACTCTTCAGGCAAAATATGCTTTTATGTTCTCCATCTTGAAATCATCCTTAATTCTTTGCTCTCCCTCATGCCGTATATCCTATCAATTGCCAGGTCTCACTAATTCTATTCCTACAATATATTTCACATCTGTTCTCTCCTCTCAGTGCACATGGATACCACCCTAAGTCAGGCCTTCATTGCCTATCACCTGCAATACTGTTATAGCTTCCTGTCTGGACTCCTTCCTTTGAGTGTCACACCTCTCCAAACTATGCTCTACCTAGCTGCTAAAGTCATGTTCCTAAAGCATATGTCTGATTGTGTTACCCCTCCTGCCATGCAACAAGCTCCATGGGTAACTTCTTGCCTTTAGGTTAAAATACAAACTCTTTCACGTGGCATTTAAATGCAGGACCAATCCAGCTCTAGCCTTCCATTTCTTTATTATTTCCTATCCTGTTCTCTGTGATCCAGCTAAATGGATATAATTGCCTTTCTTAACATGTGAGAATCCATCTTTTGTTTCTGTGCCTTGCACAAGCTGGAATACATTTTCTTCTCACATCAGCCTCAGAAAATGCTTAGTTTCCTTCAAAATTCAGTTCAAATGCCATTTATTTGCAATTATATTTATAGAAGGAAGCATTATGTAGTAGACCAAGAGATAACTTCCAAACCAGGAATGGTCTGACTTGTAGATCTGTACATCCCTGAGCAAGGCACTTGGTCTCTTAATTCTCTAGGCAACTCTCTAAAAATAC